AGGAAGACAATAGAAATTAGTCTCTAAACTTGTTCCATTCATCTTTGATAAGCACCTATTTATAGGCTTACAACTATAGGTACTTAACCCACAAATTATAGCTACTAATTACAACACTAAGAACATAAGTTACAAACATGAAAGATGGAGATAATGGGTGTTACGGTGGTCATCTACATTCTCATATATTTATAACATAAATGAAATAGTTCTATTATTAGTATTGCTTCGATTACCTTCGATTTTGATAAAATTCTTTTTTCTACTTTAAATTTTTTTTTGACATAGCTACTCATTTTACGATATCAAAAATTTGAAAGTTAATATCTAAAATTTAAGCTAAAAACTTGTGCTTAATGAAAATTTGACATCAATAGAATAACTCAACTCATTATAAATTGTCTCTTTATCATGTATTAGATGGTTGACACACATCATATTTGTATAAACATAACATATATATGTAAAGAACTTATAACTCAAATAGTTAATATATACTTAGATACTTAACATGTATGTATGTAGACTAAATCATGTGCTAGCTCTAATTATGTTGTTTAGAGCTGAGCTACTATGTGAATTATGAAAATGTGATTCTTCCACTCCCTTCCCTACAAGTCTACCATCATTCACTAAGCTTTCAATTCATGGCCATCACAATTGCAATAACCCTATCCTAAATTAATAGTTAATTATTAATTTATTCTAGTAAAAGACTAGTATACCTCCTAGAATATTTTAATGGTTTAAAAGTTAACTTTTTATTCGGGAAGGAATTTGGGGATTTCAGTTACACCGTTGCGTAAAGCGCAGCGAGATGAGTTCATAGACACATAGTGGGCTCAAATTCGAGTTGTACTGAGGGAGATACGATCAATTTACGTTGAGGGGCAAAATAGTAATTTGTCAGGTCATATATTTTAAAACTGACTTCTCTCTCTCTCTCTCTTTCCCCCCCGGTGCGACCCAGCCCCTCCCCTATTCTCAGTTCAGCCGGTGACTTTCAAGAGCCACCGCCGCCACCACAGGCCATAGTTGGCCACGAGATCGAACGCAAACAGACAGCCACCCCCTCCTCTTCCCTTCCCGGCTTCATTCTCCATACTTCAGCCACCGATTCTGACGAGTAAGGCCACTTCTGGCCACTTTTTGGGGTAGGTCCAAGAACAAAAGTGACTCTAAATAGGGTGTTACACCTAGGGTAAGAGTTTTGAGCCGTGATCTGGAGATTTTTCTGGCGAAGAGTTATCGCTTTAGACACCACGCGCTGCCGGCGCGTGGTGGCGCGCGGGCAGCAGGGTGGAGACTACAATCAGTCCCAGAATAATCCTTTAGTCCTCACGAGCGCGTAGGACTTTGCGGATCTTAATTCGGATAACGTTTGAACCCCGAACATATCTCGCCTAGTGTGTAATTTCCTGGTTCAGCATGTTTGAGCCGTTGGATCGTAGTCATGTTTAGGTATGTTGACTCAGGTAATTCCAGCGTCGTATAATAGTTGTCGGATCGTAAAATGGAGTTCCAGATATTTTAGAAACGCCAGCCCTAGAGTTAGGTTTACAGTAAACAAGTCCGGACCAAAAGGAGTTATCTAAATCCTGTTATGGGATGAGCAGATAGTTAGTTTTAGGTTGCAGCCCTGATAGAAGCTGTATCTCCAAGGCCTGCCAGTTTGCAGATCAGGAATAGAGGAAAGAACTACGTGTGGCTTGATCCTTTAGTAAGGGTACGTAGGCAGCTTACAGTTATAAGGTGCAGCCACGAGTCAGAGCCTTTGAGTTTGTGTTATTGTTTTTCAGGGCATTTTGGTCATTTTTTACCCACACCCACCAGGTGTCAATTATAAACAGGGTTCGGCCCGGATTACAAAGTGAAATTTGGGTCAGGTCATTTCAACAATTGTTGATAACTTTACTACATATTTACCTACTTACCTCTACCAACTCTTATATTTGTAGTTTCACCTAATCAAAAAATCTACACCCATCCTCAACAACAATAGAAACCAAAATCATATTTATAATTAATAGTCACTGGAGGCTACATTAAGAGGTCAAAGTGTCCACGTATTTTTCTTTTCCGTTGGTTATAAATATCTCAACCTAACTTTTACGAAATAAACATACGTTGAACTTGATATTATCTATGAAGTTATTAAGATAACAACTGAACCTAAGCTACAAACCCCACAAATATCCCATGTATACAAAATGATATAGAAACCTTTTTGGTCACTCGATTTTATATGAAAAATCAATTTGGTCACTCATAAATTTTTTTAGCCAAATTGATCACTGTGCTTCTTAAAGTTTATAATTTATAGACATTCTTTTATTTTCTGTTAATTCTATTAAGTGCAGTTTTTTATTTCTATTTTTTTAGGAAGCATGTTTAGTCTTCTAATTCTAACTCAATGAGTTAAGGCATATTGTGCTATTAGGGTTTAACAAATTGGTTAGAAATCTTATGTTGAAATCGAAATTGTGAGGCATAAGGTCACAGATTGGATGCTATATTGAAGCATAAATCGATTGAGTAAGAACAACATTATGACTTCGAATGGCAAGAAGAAGTAATTAAGGGGATAGAGCACCAAAATATATTCATAAATTGTTGATTTCATTTTAATTTGGTTTGGATTTTTTATTTTCCTTATAATTTAGATTCAACTATTTCCCCCAATTTGTTAAACCCTAATAGCACAATATATTGTTGAGTTAGAGGAACAAGACTGAAGATGTTTCCAAAATAATAATAATAATAATAACTGCACTTAACGGAATGTCTATAAATTGTAAATTTTGGAAAACACAGTGACCAATTTGACTAAAAAAATTTCTTATTAACCAAATTAAATTTTCATGTAAAATCCAGTAACCAAAAAAGTATTTAACCCTACAGAAAAAGTAATCTATTGTTAAATATAATTAAGAATGTTGATTGAAAAATTTAAATTTGGACCAAAATTGGGTTTTGAAAAAATATGTGCCGGTCCAGACATACCTTAGGGCCCAAGCCCACTTCAATTTAATAATCCCCAAATTGAAGCAATCAAGGGCCGAGATAACGATGGACCTTGATTGCGCCATTGATAAGGATAGACCTCCAACAAATTTTAAAATTTTGAATTCAATAAATGCAATTTATCGTACGCTTCCTGCTCATAAAAAAAGTGGCCAATTGCCTCTCTTTTCCGCCTATGATAAATTCCCAAATTTCCCTCCCTCGCAATTGCTGGTTGGTGAGAGAGAAAAGAAACAAACTTGAGCAAAGAGAATGACGGAAAGTCAAGGAAACAGCGAAAAAATGTCCAAACAGAAGCGGGAACGTAGCCTGCTAGCCGTCAGCGGAGCCGCTGCTCTGCTCGTTCTCGCTGTTAACCTCGGAATCAACGCCTTCAACTCCCACAGGAAGAACAGGAAGAACAAAGGTTTGTTCATTACTTAATTGATTTTCTTTTCACTTTAAGACAAACAAACAGTCTTATTCGCTCACTGTAGTTGTTAATTCTGCTTTCGATGTTTGTCTTCACTTGTGTTTATGTAAGTTGCAGATCTTCAGGGCTCTAAGGTTCGAGTTAATCTATCGGCATCCGAGATTTTAAAATTGGCGGACCGAATCATTACCAAGTCGAAAGAGGTGCACGATGCGGTTGCTTCAATTCCACTCGACAAGGTTGTAAGCAATTCACACAGTAGCTTTTGCATTTGAATTTTTTAGACTAATTTGGCTTGTAATGTTCTTTAAGTTTTTAATTTCTCAAATTCAATTTAGAGAATAGTACAGTTCGTAAAATTAATGCTATTAGTGAATTAGCATATTAAGAATGTATATTTGTGTTGGAAAACTATCATTTAATTTTTTTAATTATTATTTGAGCTAATTTTAATAACAGTTACATTTTACAGGTTACATATATGAATGTTATTTCACCTCTAGCAGAATTAGAAGCGCAACAATTTCCACTTGTCCAGTCTTGTGTGTTTCCAAAGATGGTAACCACTTCTGATGATGTCCACAAAGCAAGCGCTGAAGCAGAGCGGAGAATAGATACCCATCTTCTGGCTTGCAGGTACGATTAATTTTTGGGTGATGATCTCTAATTCTCAAGTAACTTGAACTTTGTATAGAGTATTGTTGGCTTTAACATGCATATCATCTGCAATGAGATTGAATTGAACTAGAAATCTATTTTGAAGATCTTTAAAGAATTATGGAAATAAATAACACATCTTTATTTACTAAAACTGAACAGCAAGCGTGAAGATGTATACCGTGTCGTCAAAGCTTTTGCTGCTAGAGGGGAGTGGGTGAATGCTGAAGCAAAGAACTATACTCAGGCCTTGGTAAGGACTAAGGAGTAAGAATGCTTTTGCAGTATTCCTATGGGTCTTTCTCTTTCTCAGTCTCTTATATTTACTTGAAAATTTGTAGATTTTGTTTTAATTACTATTTTTTTGAGAAGGGATAGGGGGTGGATGGGTGGGTATATATCGCTGTTGTCTTGATAATGTCACTCTAGGTTCTCTTTTTGGTAAATGCTGGATGTTGATTCTTTCCTGATCAGTGACAGATGAGAGACTTTGAACGCAATGGTTTGAATCTTACCTTAACTAAGAGAGAGGAAATGCAGCGCGTGAGAATCCAAATCGATGAGCTAAGCTTGCAATATATCCAAAATCTAACTGAGGATAGTACTTTCCTTCTCTTCGCTGAGACCGAGTTGGCTGGGTTACCGCCAGAGTTTCTCAAGGTGTAGTATTCTTCACTCATTTATTTTTCAAGCTAGCCTTCCTGGAATGCTACTTTATGCTAGTTTACTTGGGCTGCAGTTATGGTTAAACTTTCAACATATTTCTTTTCGATTTATATAGTTTCTGGTAACCGTGTAACTTATCTATACTTTGTGTAACTACGTTTATAAATTTATTCAAATACACGGGCAAATCATTGTAAGTAAAATGTGAATAAGCTCGTTATAACTGAGGTACATTGTCTCTAAATAAATCACTGAACATTTACAAAAATGTTGCATTTATAAAATAAATTTATTCATGTGCAGAGCTTAGACAAAGTTACAGATGGTAAATTCAAGGTGACCCTGAAAAGTCATCATGTGGGAGCAGTACTGGAACTTTGTGAGGTATGATCTGCTGAGTTCATATTGAAGGCAATGCATTATTACTGAAATTTTCACCCCAAACATCAGTGACATTTTTGCCAAGATTGACATTTAGTTTGTTGTGTTATTCAATAACTTCAGAATCACTACTAATGTCGTTGAAAAATTCATTTGGAGCATTTTTGAAGGTTGGAACAACAAGGAGGATGGTAGCAGTGGCATATGGAAAGAGGTGTGGAGAAGTCAATCTTTCAATCTTAGAAGATTTGGTAAATCATTTTTATTTTCTTCCCCTGATTATTGTACTTCCTATTAGATCTAATGAAAAACTTAATTTAACAGTTATCCATTAATTTTTTTTTTTCCCCCCCCCCCCCCCCCCCCCCCCCAAAAAAAAAAAAATCATATATTTCAAAGTATTTGTAATTTTTAAATAAGTGACATGGTTTTTTTTTTTCAATTATAAAAACTAAATATGTTCTTATTTGCTCCTTAAAAAAGTCTTTTGTAGTTAATATTCTATTTATAATTGTTTTTCTTTGTCTCCTAATGTACCTCACTAGTGTTATGTTATGAATTATGATGAAGTATATACAAGTCAGTTGACTCTGATATTTTGTTGGTTTAGGTCCAACTGCGCCATAAATTTGCTCGGTTACTTGGCTATTCAAGTTATGCTGACTGTGCAGTTGATCTTAGAATGGCAAAAACACCATCAAAGGTTTGTATGACATTGCATTTTTCTTATGATATTCAAGTGTTTTGCTCTGAATTTCATGACCTGATAGGTTGGTCAACTGGGGATATTTTAACTCCTTCTTAATAATCAATTAGAGTTAGTGTAATAACAATGGAAACAATGAGAGATGCTGTCTTCTTTTTTGGCCTGATTGATAAGAGATGAACTGTTTAAGAGGTTATTTCTGGTGGCCCTCAAGATAAATTATTATTTTTGCCATTTGCCTCTTCTCCACCAAGCTCATAAGCCTAGAGAAAATTATATTCTAAGAAAGATGTATCGTGCTTTCTTTTATTTTCTTCTGAAAAGATGTATGAGGTCCATTCTTTTGTTGCTGCATGCTCTTTAGAATTGCGAGGGGCCTCAGGCCCTACTTACTGACAGTGACGAAGGATATTGACTAATTAGGGAAATTCAAGTCGGTCTTCATGAGGCTAATTGGTTGTTTTGATCCTTAATCTTTCTGATATGACCCTGCTCTAAAATTGCATCATACTTTCTGCTCTTTTTCCCAGTTAAAATATATTATGTCAAGCAGCTTTGTAGGCATATTTGGGATAATTTTGTTTATTGCACTGGGACCATCTTACCATTTAGGTCCATTTGCACACAATTGTTTCTTGTAGCTCATACTTGTGAGGGTGACTATTTAGGTTTTTGAGTTCTTAGAGGACATCTCAAATAGCTTGACCGACTCGGCTACCATGGAGCTTTCCATGTTGAAAGATTTGAAGGTTAGAATACCTTTTGTATTCCCAATGCTTTGGTTTATTTCATTCTTTTCCCAATGATTTGGTTTATTTCGTGGCTGATTGTTTTTTGTCTAATGTGGTACCAGAGAAAAGAGGAAGGAGACCATCCGTTTGGAATTGAGGATCTGCTATACTATGTGAAGAAGGCTGAAGCACAGCAGTTTAATGTGGACTTTGGAGCTCTTAAGCAATACTTTCCAGTAAATTTGGTTCTATCCGGGGTCTTCAAGATAGTGCAAGACCTTTTTGGTAATTATTCATGATACTTTAATATTTCCCATACACTTATTCACATTATGAATTATATAGTGATAGTGGAACTGCTATTTTTATTTTCTGCAGGTTTAAGATTTGAGGAAATGACAGATGCTGAGGTTTGGCATTCTGATGTTTGTGTATACTCAGTTTTTGACTTAAGTTCTGGTGAACTTTTGGGTCATTTCTACCTTGATATGTACAAAAGGTTGAAGGATGACTTCTTTTAAAGATTTAGCTCTTCCTTTATGTTATTTTCTTTGAGTCACGAACAAATGGGTTTATGTTTTCTGTTAACAGGGAAGGAAAATATAATCATACCTGTGTGGTGGCTCTTCAAAATGGTGCATTATCATCCAATGGATCACGTCAGGTTGTGTTTTCAATTTGTGACTTAAATATTATTTGTGTAATATAAGGTTTGCTGTCAGATGGAAATTAATGTTTAATAACTGTAGTATAAGATACATAGAATTGCTTTCGGTAATATAAGTTGAGTGACCTACTCTCTTTGAGGTAATAATAGAAACCTCTTTGAGTGTAAAGTTCCAATTTTGATCTCATTTGCATGTGATCCTTTGCATTTATTCTTTTTGCGCTCAAATGAAAGTAGCTCTGGTTATTTTAAGTTCAGATATTTAATTATCTTATTGACATAGAGAATCATGTGTGGATGGATTGTTACCTTACCATTTCATTTTTTGTAATTAGATTCCCGTGGTGTTAATGATAGCTCAACTACAAAAGGATGTTAGTGGTCATCCTGCATTACTGAGATTCTCTGAAGTTGTGGATCTTTTCCATGAGTTTGGCCATGTGGTATGTTGTATTTCATCATTCACATTTTCAATAATTATCAAAACTTGCAATATCCTTTTCTGTCTGTTATTTTGTTTATGGAATAATACACATGGTAATATAAATAAATCATTTGCAATTCAAAATGCTGCACCTTAGTTACCTCACCTTCATCCTTTATTAGTCCCATCTTTACTAACTGAAAACAGAAAATTAGTCTTTTCTAGGCTTTAAAAGACTTTAAATAGGGCAGTAACTGCATACTTTTAGGGTGGATGTCATAGGAAAGATGGCTACGCCTGAATGGTAAGAACTGCATTACTGAGATCTAGAGATCTAGAGATTAAGGTCTTTGGCAGTACCTTCCACAACGTTCTCCATGAGTAGGATTGTAGTGAAATGGGAACTTTGAGAGCAATGGCTTTGCCCTTATGGGGAATGCCTGGTGGTAAAATCCACATTGGATCAGTCCTAAATTTAAGCTTGGGTGGTGTCCTTTAATTGGCTAGCAGCAAGAATATAAAAAACTGCATATGCCTCCACTTGCCCTATGAAAGATGCATGAAATAATAACAGCCACTAACATGCAACCTGCATATTTGAGAAGACCCATTAGCCAAATCAGAAGATGAATAAGTTAAGGGCCTCTGAGATTTTTTGAATAAGTTAATTGAGTGTGGTCTCAATGATGCCATACTTGAACCTTCCCTAATTTTTACTTTTATTTTTATGTTGGTTTAATGAATGGATATCCTTTTAAGTTTCCAATAACGACTATCGAGGTGATTAGATAATTGGGATGAACTCCTGTTAGCTAATTGATCAGAGAAACAGATTTAGTCTGGAATATTATTCTTCTTGGGATGTTATATAATTTTGGCAGTTAATAAAGTTTTCTAGTGTGATATGTTTCCCATAACTAACAGTTTCTTTTGTGAAATATGAACCTTTAGGTCCAACATATATGCAATCGTGCATCATTTGCCAGATTTTCTGGGCTGGGTTTTGATCAAGATTTTGTGGAGGTTCCTGCTCTGGTGCTAGAGAACTGGTAATTAATGAATTATGGATCATAGTGTTCCCTTTTATGAGGACACATGGCCTAAATCAATGCTTCTTAACTGTGTACAATTTCAGGTGTTACGAAAGCTTCACTTTGAAGTTGATATCTGGCTTCCATCAGGTGACACATGCTTTATTATTATTATTATTTAAATTTAAGTAGTAAATGCTCCCAAAATCAATGTGCTCTTTTCTTTCTCTCTCCTCAAGTGAAACCTCTCATATTTTCATTAACATGTTTACTTTTGGTTTTATCCTTATTATGGGCAGTTATTGTTGATGTCATGTCTAATGTAAATACTCTAAAAAAATATAGTTGTTTTTAAGAGATATAAGATGAGTTAAATTGCTAATTACTATTGAATTTACATGCAGGATATAACAAAACCTATCAAAGATGAAATGTGCAAAGCCATTAAAAGATGGCGGTGTTCCTTCTCTGCACTCAAGATGAGGCAAGAAATTCTTTATAGTAAGTCCTGTTACTATTTCTACACTTCATTGATTCTTTGAAGAATCATCTTTAAGGCTGTCTTTGTTTCATAGGATTTGCAGACATTTTTTTCCCTGGAAAATATTTGTTGTTAGAACTTTTGCTTTTTGATTTGTGTTGATTTGGATCTCTTGGAGTTGGTTTTAAAAAGAAATCACTGTAGACAACTGATTCTTAGTTATACTTTTAATTTTTAAAAGCTCTGCTTCCTAAGGGCCCGTTTGATAACCATTTCAATTTTAGTTTTCATTTTTCATTTTTGTGCTAGAGTATAGGGGAAAATGAGAGTGAGAATGTGAGTCAAGATGAGATTGAGAGAGAGAGGGGAGGATGAGAAGGAGTCACAAAAGTGAAAACAAAAACTTACAAGTGAAAACAATTCCAAATAGATTTCAGTTTTGAATTTTTGTTTTCACTTTTGTTACTCATCCCTCCCATCCTCCACTCGCATGTTCACTCTCAATCCCATCTCCACTCTCATTCTCACTTCCATTCTCCCTCTTTTTCCTCTATACTCCAGCACAAAAAATGAAAACCAAAAACTGAAATTGAAATGGTTATCAAACGGGCCCTAAGTTTCTCATAGTTATATTAATAGCCATTGTTTTGAAACTGGACTGGTGATCAATGGATAAGGCTATTGCCTAATAATTGTAGACACTATTTGTATGTTAAAATTGATGCCAAGGTATGTTACGTGAGACTGCTGTTCTTTCTGGGAAACGTACAATGCTGGAATGTCGAATTATCATTTAGATGTTGGTAAAGCAGACATTTCGATTTATCATGTACAGAACTGAAAAACATCTATTTTGTCAGGTCTTTTTGATCAAATTATACATTCTGCTGAAAATGTTGACATTGTTGAGTTATTCAAGCATCTTCATCCAAGGGTATGTGGTTGTTTCCAGTAATTCATTCCCTTATGAAGTTGCATTTTGGGGTATTATTAACTCTGTTTCCTCAGATCTTGTTAGGTTTGCCAATGTTAGAAGATGTCAATCCTGCTTCACGTTTTCCATGTAGCGCCATTGGTCATGAAGCTGCTTGTTACAGTCGTATTTGGAGTGAGGTTTGTCACCCATCCCTTATTGGAAAAAGTCAAACAACACATCCCTGTTACTTTATATTCCCAAGTTTGTAATGACAATCGTTGTTATATGCAATAGTTTCTCAATTATTATGTTTGCAGGATATCATTCTAATAATCTGTGATTCTGTGACAATCAGTGCTGATGCCTTGAATGTTACATGCAGGTTTTTGCGGCTGATATATTTGCCTCAAAGTTTCATGACAGTTATTTGAACCAATATGTTGGCATGCAGTTCAGGAACAAGGTAAAGAATTTGCTCAATAGAAAGTAGTGTTGCCATAATAGTATCCATGCATTTCGACGTGTAGTCTTAAGGTGTGTCGATTTAGGTTTTACTTCCCATGCTCTTCATAATTCATATGGGACAATGGCATACTTTTTTGTCTCCGTCAGAAATGTTTTGCAACAGTCTACTCACGTCAAATTTTGTTCATTTCTCTATTTATTTATATTGAAGTGTTCTCTTTGTAGGTTTTGGCCCCAGGAGGAGCAAAGGAACCAATTGAAGTTTTAACTAGCTTTCTTGGGAGAGAACCATCAACTCAAGCTTTTATTGAGAGCAAATCCCAATACAGATTGTGATGCAGACAGAACTTCCCATAGTTACAACCACATTCTCCGATAATAGCACTCCTCAGCGTCTTGCGATTTTGGTTGCCGGTAATGTCATCAATTTCTCATGCTTAATCAGCAGACAAGGTTTCGTGCTCAAAATGGTAACACCTCTTGTGTTTCTTGGTAGTATTCGCAACTTTTATAGCAGCACCGAGTTTTTATATATATATTGAGATTAGGGCAAGACTTGCAGTGCAGGTTCCTTAAGAACATTGCAATTTTGGTAGCTCTGGAGAAGCTAGCAAGTTTCGTTGTAATTATTCTTCTCTCTCCTTTTAATCTTCTTGTTTAAGTGACGACCCCTTCCTGTTCATACATAATAAATTATTTGCATGTTTGAGGTGTTCGCGTTACATTTTTGACATAAGCTTCAGTGATTTTACTTTGCATTATAAAAAACATTAAAGATGGACCATATAGTTTTATAAATAGTATTTTTGGATGGAGGAAAATGAATGGAAATGTAAAAGAAAAATAAGTTTTCTAATGTACGTTATTTCCCACTACAATCCAAACAAAAAGGGAAAGAAAAAAAAATCCAGTACAGTTTGATAAAAACTTGCGAGCAATTTCTGACCAATCTAGAATATCTTGTGCTTTGACGTTTGACTTAGTGTTCCACGATGAGTTGAAGATTGAATATTTCCCGGCCGCTATTTTTTTCTCCCTTCACATAAGGTACCCTACCCTGGTCGCAGCCTCGTCGCGTTATGAAATCGTGTGGCAATAATTTTTTGGTATTTTATTATCTTACCAATATTCTTCTGCTACTTACGTGGACATTTATTTTAACATATTAAATTCACACTACATTGGATGCTATGAATTGAATCGAACCGAAAGCTCTTTTGGGAAGCAATTATTCTAAATGACTACACTAACGGGTCCTTTGCAACATCTTGTGGAAATTGCATATAAATAAACCTCCGTTTTTGTGTTAACATAAATAAACATAGATAAAGTGGCCATGGCCACCTTATGAAGGCAAAACAATAGAAGGGCTTTTTGTTTATTTTTAATTTAGGACTTGGGAGAGATTCGGATATGAGCTTTCTTCCAACATTGTGAAATAGTATTGAACTAATAGTTAAATTGATCATTTCGTGTTTCGCTTCTTGATTAATCAACACCGGTTATCCATGATATTTAGATTTGGGAAAATTCGAATTTGAGTGTTTTTCCGTCAAAATGAAATACTACTAAACTGATTGTTAAAGTAGAAACTGAATGTCACTAAATTAAATGATTACCACGAGCTTAGGTTTAATTCAAAATTCACATTTCGCGAAATGTATAGATTACTCTGGGCCGAATATACAAGTCATACCTCTGAAGGAAAGACCAGGTGTAGCATAGAAACGATGTCGGTTTGGAGATTGACGTATTAAAGCTACGGGCTGGTCCTCGTCGTGGTTGTTGGGTTCCTTCCCGTGGGTGTTTCGGTTTTGACTTGACTTTTCCAAAGAGCCCAGAAGGGAGTAGAAAACCAGAAAGAGAGAGAGAGAAATTGACCGAAAGTTTCCGGGGCAAAAGAATAACTGAAAAAATCACGCGAAGAAAATAATAAACAACAAATAATTTCTGAGTCAACAAACTACAACGAGAATAAAGGATAACAAAGGCCGAGTCTTTCCTTCGTAACTCGTAAGTATTATCGAACCCTTCTCTTCATTGTTCCAATCTGGGTTTCCTTTTGCTCATCTTGATCATCTCCTCTGCTCTGTTGCATGTGCTTTTGCTTTTTTGTGAATTTAAAAATTGTTCACGAGCACTTCATTGTATTTAGTTTATCAATATAGTTTTTGAACATTGGGAAAGAGAATAATGTGGTGAATATACCTCTAATTTTCCTCTCTTTTTTATCTTTTCCTCTTTTGATTTGAAAGAACACAGAAGGGAGTTGGGATTCGTGGATTAAATTCAGAAAGCTGCTGCTGATTTTTTTAGTTTAGAGTGACTTTAGGCATCTGGGTTTTCAATTTTTGAGCGAAAAGTTCAATTTTTTGTGGGTGAAAAGCGAAGAGATTTGTGGGGTGTTTTTCTTTTTCCTATCAAGGGCACAAAGCTGAAGGGAGGGTTATCTTTTCGGTGGTTGAGATTGGGTAACTTAGAGCTTGGTCTGATCTGTGTGTTAGATAAGTTAGTTGGAGTTTTCGGATGAGAGGGGGGTATATGGCCCCCTTTGTTGCTTTGTTTTCAGAGAAACAGGCGTAAAACGAACTTCTGTATGGTCTCAGATTATAATTATATACGCAAGTTTTGCTCTTGAAATCGGGTTCTCATTAGACCCAAGAGTGATTTTGCGAATTGTTTCGGAACCTAAGGTAGTGGTGTTGTGCTTTTAGGGGCGGCATTTTGTTTGTTTGCATGAATTATGTTCAAACAGATACTAAGTAAGCTTCCCCGGAAGTCTTCTAAGAATTCTGAAAGTCGTGATGGAAGCCATACAATGTATTCGAATCCTCCCAACACTTCAAGAAGCAGTGATTTCGGGACCAGTAAGTCTGGCAATTTGGTTACATCTTTCCCAGCCGGAAATCCTGTTTCAGATGTGGGGAAAAGTTATGGCAACAAGAATGTGAGGGGTGCAAATTTGAAGCCGAATGGCTTTGTGCTCTCTTCTTCTTATGAAGCATTGCCTGGATTTAGAGATGTTCCCAATTCTGAGAAGCAGAGCTTATTCATTAAAAAGCTGAACTTGTGCTGTGTTGTATTTGACTTCACTGACCCAACAAAGCATCTGAAAGAAAAGGAGATCAAGCGACAGACACTGTTAGAGCTGGTGGATTATGTGACTTCAGCAAATGGTAAATTTACAGAAACTGTTATGCAAGAAATTGCAAAAATGGTATCCACAAATTTATTTAGGTCGTTCACCCCGCAGCCACGTGAGAATAAACTTGTAGAAGGCTTTGATTTGGAAGAGGATGAACCTTCAATGGATCCTGCATGGCCTCACTTGCAATTAGTGTACGAGTTTTTGTTAAGGTTTGTCGCATCACCTGAGACCGATGCAAAATTAGCTAAAAGATATGTTGATCACTCGTTCATTCTCAAGTTGCTTGATCTTTTTGACTCCGAAGATCCTAGAGAAAGGGAGTATTTGAAAACAATTCTGCACCGAGTTTATGGAAAATTTATGGTGCATCGCCCATTCATCAGGAAGGCTATTAACAACATCTTTTATCGTTTCATCTTTGAGACTGAGAAGCATAACGGGATTTCTGAACTCCTAGAAATTTTGGGCAGTATTATAAATGGGTTTGCTCTACCACTGAAAGAAGAGCATAAATTGTTCCTTGTTCGAGCTCTAATCCCCCTGCATAAGCCAAAATGCCTAGCTATGTACCATCAACAATTATCTTACTCCATTATACAATTTGTAGAGAAAGATTGCAAGCTTGCTGATACTGTCATAAGGGGTTTACTGAAGTACTGGCCGATCACTAATAGTTCAAAGGAAGTATTGTTCCTAAGTGAGTTAGAGGAAGTTTTAGAAGCAACTCAGCCATCTGAATTCCAGCGCTGCATGGTTCCCTTGTTTCGCCAGATTGCTCATTGTCTAAACAGTTCTCACTTTCAGGTAGCGGGTTCTTTCTTTATAACTTGCTTTTGTTCTGCAACATGAATGATATTCAAGTTCTGCTGTTATTTCATTACAATGGGAAGAGTTCTCTGCATCATTGTTTTTCTTGTCCATGTTGACTGTGATACATACTAAGCACACTTGTGTTAATGTTCTTTTCTCTTTCCATCTTTGGTTAGTAAGTTTAAAAATCTCGTTAATCCAAATTGTTCTGTAGTTATAGCTTAGGTTCCCATTTTGTGGGTGATCCATTTATACTTGTCTTTCCATGTATGTTGTTTTTAGTTGAGGGCTTCTCTAACTTTATTTTTCTTTCTTAAATGTTGCTTTACTAAATTTCCGATTAAGCCATCTGAACCTTGGGTCCTGTCTACCAGCCAGAAAAAGAAAAAGACCCTGAAATCTCTTCTATTTGGATTTTTCTGTTCTCTTTTGTTAGTCCTTTCCTTTATTGTCATTTTAATTTTAGGACTTTCGTCGGGAATTTTCAAGTTTCTTGTTTACTCAATTTGGAGGAGAATGTTCGAGTTCTTTCTCAGTTCTAGCAGCAATTGGTTGTTGAAGATGAGGACTCATTTTTTATGTTCCACCGCGTTGGGGTAGATCAAAGATTGAAATAAGATAACATAAGATAATGACTAAAATGCAGTGCACAGCCAACTTTATGACTGATAGTGCAGTTTAATCATTATAGTCAATGGTTTGTTAATGCATGGGAGGTGCAAATTAAGTCTGTATAAAGTTAGGAAGAAAGTTAGAATATCATAAGAGTTTAAAGCTCAGTCTTTGTAATATCTTATAGATCCCAAGGGTCAAAGTTCGTCCTGCAGTACTTGATTAGTCTCTGTTTTTACACAAATGGTTTTAGGATTTTAATTATGACAACGAGTGTGCCTGTTGAGAGGATCTTAAGATAATGTCTTGGAAAATTTGGGGGCTTGTTGGATTTTCCATTTTTGTAACATTGAATATTTTTTAAAACGTTTAGGGAACATTTTAAATATCTACTGGGTTCTACTTTTTTTCCTGAGTCTTTCAAGATTAGTTTCACGATGTTCTCACTTAAAAAGTAGCGTCACTGTTAATCCCATTTAGTAGCAATGTGGAATTCAAATTCCCATCAATTTTTTTAGTTCGTCGTCTTGAGGAAATAGTTATGTATTAAACGAATTGTGGCTTATCAGGAAAAAAAAAATGCTACAGGAATTGTGAAAATGTTCCATGAACAATAAGGTGCTCAATCTCTTTTTTCTAGACTATATTACTCTATATAACCAAATGTTCAACACAAAATAGAACTGAAGTGAACTTATGAAATGGTTATGCACATGAATTCTCTTTGCAGTGGATGACTAACTGTCAAATGTATTTTAACCAAATATTCTCGGGAGGTTTTATACCAGCCAATTGTATTGAAGTTTGACACTAGTCTGTATGAAGTTAAGCCTATTCACTTGTATTGGGAGCCCTTCAGACCGAAACATTCACTTTTTTGTTTTGTGAAATAAGTAGAGTTCTTTGCCAGTTGATTATTTATGTTTTAGTGATCATGTTTTCTCTTTAAGAAAATAGCTTCCTCCCTTTGCAGCTTTTGATTCTTGAATCTAATGCAATCAATTCTTGTTGTGCCAGGTGGCAGAGAGAGCTTTATTTTTATGGAACAACGATCACATTGAGAACTTAATCAGACAGAATCGTAAAGTTATACTGCCCATTATCTTCCCTGCATTGGAGAAAA